TAGAGGTCCACATTTCTGTGTCTGGTGCGGAGATCCTAGAGCCGTGGTCCCCAACACGGTGCCAGCGGGCGTGCGGCTATTGAGGGGGCCCCGCCCCCGGGCGTGCGGCTATGGGGGGGCCCCCGCCCCTGGGCGCACGGCTATGGGGGGCCCCCGCCCCTGGGCGCACAAGTGTCCCCACCCCCTGGCGCCCGGCGGGCAAACGGCCACGCCCCCTGGCGCCCGACAACCTCAAAAGGTTGGGGACCACTGCACTAGGGGCACTGATACAGTGGGATCTGGATTATTCTTATAAATTAGTAAAAGCTGCATATTACCTAAATTTAGATGGTAAAACTGGAGAGTAAAAGGCTATGGATGCCAGGATATATTGTGGTCCTTCAGTTTCTTGTTTTATGACCAGATTTCTCCAGGATTCAGATCTGAACCCAGTGGTATGGTACAGTTGTACTGGAGCGCTTCAGGGTCTGTGTTTTAAGGTGCACCTAATAACAGCTAAACATGTTCTCTGTTCAGGCATGGAACTTAGGTAGATGAGTCTAAAAAGTGTCAGGACCCAGTAGGATCCACCTAGGATTTGGCAGTACAACTGAGACGGTACCTATGGTACCTATGGGTTTGGGGTCTCTGGTGCAAGCAGAAGGCTGGGCTAAAAATTGGCAAGATCCCCACGTGTAGGCTGACTCTTCAAGTCCACTTCTGATTCCAAGCTGAGGCATTATTCTCGTTGAAGCCCGAGATTTTAAATGCTCACCCCTCTGGACCAAAAAGAGGACGCAAAGGGAAGGGGGAGGGGGCGTAGCAGGAGATATTATCGGTGTCATCGGAGACTTGTGCAAATGGCAGGCGCGGAGATGCGGGCGCGAGATAGGAGGGGAACGAAGCGGCGTTAGGACCGCTCGGCGCGCTCAGGTCTGGAGGTGGTATAAGGTTTGCAATCCCTCTACTTGCTGGCAGTTGCAGGAGAAGATTGCTTTTAAGTGAAGCGTCCCTGCCACCTCGCCCAGCTTCCATCCCCCTACCGCGCGTCCTGCCCTCAAGTTTGAGCGCGCCGTGTGCGAGGCCGGGGCCGCGCGAGCGTTGCGGAGGGCGCCCGGGAGGATTCCAGCCCCGAAGAGCCGCGGGCATGTATCGCGCAGCCCAGGGACTGGCCATGTGTCTCTCCGCCCCGCCGCCCGCTTTCCGCGCACTGCCCCTTCTCCTCACTTGAGCCGAGGAATGCGCGCAGCACGCTCCGGCGAACCCGGCAGCAGAGTCTCCTCGGCGCCAGCGCGCGAGCGTTGCGGAGGGCGCCCGGGAGGATTCCAGCCCCGAAGAGCCGCGGGCATGTATCGCGCAGCCCAGGGACTGGCCATGTGTCTCTCCGCCCCGCCGCCCGCTTTCCGCGCACTGCCCCTTCTCCTCACTTGAGCCGAGGAATGCGCGCAGCACGCTCCGGCGAACCCGGCAGCAGAGTCTCCTCGGCGCCAGCGCTCCTGATTCCGGCGCGCTCCGAGCACCTGGCAGCGCCCCGCCTAAGGTGAAATGCAAGCGGGGGCCAGCCCGGAGCGCAGCC